TTGCACCCATTCAGAAGTTACCTGTTACACCAACTATCCTATTAGAAATTTATTCTGTATTAGATTTATCCAAGCCTTTTTATATGGTCTGTTGGACTTTGTTNTTAGTCGCTTTTTTCTCCTTTTTACGTAAGTCCAATCTCATTCCAGACACACTTTAGCATGCGAAAGAGAGCACAGCACATTTTCTGCGTAGAGAAGCCATAATTTTATTGTCGGAAGCAGCCTTATTAATCATTCGTTCTTCCAAAACCGACAATTTCCAGGAACAACAAGTTATTGTGCCACTTAGTGCCATGCCCAATAATATTTTATGCCCAGTTTCTGCTTTACATGTGATGTTTTCTCAAATTTCAGCTGAGTTTGATTCCCCTGTATTTGTTTATCCTAGTGGTACTGGATCCTTGCTCCCTTTAACTTAAAATATTACTTTGAAAGTTTTTAAGTTATTGCTTAAGAGACTGGGTTATAACCCAGCTTTATATTCATTGCATAGCTTTAGACGGGGTGGTTGTACTTATGCTCATTCAATTGGAGTCGATTTGGAATCTATTCACATTCATGGCAATTGGCGTTCTAATGCTTACCAGCAGTACATAAAACCTGATTTGCAACAGCAATTACAAGTTACCTCCCTTATGCTTACAATGTGTTGTTAAATTGTTATATGTTGTCAGCTAACAATTTTTTCAAGAGTCAAAGTTATTATTCTTTATTTTTTCACATCATTACAAGTGGTTTGGGGTTTGTTTGGCCTTTTTTCTAATATCTTAACATATAAAATATAATTTGTCTTAGTATGGAAGTTAACATACAATTCATTTAGTTATTACATTGCAATAAATTATTTGCCCCAAACCACTTGTCTTTATTACAACATCTCAATTATTATATGGTATATCTATATGCTACATTATTTGTCAGATGACGACTTTAGAGTAATTCTATGGTATTTGTTGGTGTGACTAACTGGCTTACATGACTATATAGAGTTCTGGAGCTAGACAAACAAATTTTTGATCACTAAGATACAAATCTATTCATAATAATGATGGTGAATGAACAGTATTGATGCAAATAACTTAACTCAATGATATAGCACAAGAAATAAAACAACTATACAGGTATATCAATTAGTCTCTTACAGTAAGATTATATTTAAATCTAGTTATCATATTTCTTTTCATTTTGTGAAACATTCCACAATTTGAATAGGTACCTTACTCTTACAATTGTGTGTAAGAATAGCAAGCTTGAGACATAGCTAGCAAATAACAATAAAGCTGTACTACTTACCAATGTATATTAGGGTTTTTCTGCAATATATCTCTCTCTAAATGTTCTACTAAATCTTTATCATATCCTGATGGATCAAACTTTGGTTCACCATCTTCTTCCTAAAATCATTCAATAATATTGATGAATTCAAAATTTCAGTAAAAATCAGGTTAATCAAGAAGTCATAAGGCACTTCTAAATAATTAATTAGACATATTTTCAAATATGACTTAATGACAGAGTGATACAGAAAAATCATTACAGAACATAAATCTTTAAAGGATTTATGCCACCCTAGCTCTAGATTCCTCAAAACAGAGAGCCTTGAATGGAACATCACAAATTTGATCTTTCAGCAGAACAAAATAAAATAAAAGTGGGTTTATTAAAGAAAAAAAGAAAGAAATATAGCCAGCGGTATTTTATGCATATTCTGTCAATCTTTAGAAATTTTCGAGAATGACGTCATACAAGATAGATGGACTCTGCCATGTCTACTTACACAGTATCAACATAGACTTTCATGCTTTTTCTCTTGCTTAAAAAAATCTTATCAATGGCACGTTTTATTATAAAAAGTTCGACAAACTGTAAGCCTGTTGAAGCGTAATTTCAAAGAGATTCTTATTCAGTTTTAAAATGATTTGTTGTCAATTTTTCAAAAGGATTCATCCAATACTAGTTATATGGCGAATTACTATCTTCCCTTTCTCAACAGCTTCAAATTTTGTAGAAGAATAACAAATTATTTCAGGTAGATTAAAATTCCACATCTATTTCTTTATACTTAACTTAACAGAAAAATATTAAGTTTAACAGGGTGAAAATTGCACTATTCCTGTTGACAAACTGCTAGGCCTAGTGACCTACCCCACACTAGAGACGATACATGACATAACAGCTATTGCTCTATTACTTCGAATGTCTGGATAATAGACACTACTAGTAATATGGCAGGAAACAGGGAAATGTTTGTTCATTTAGACTAAAAAAGTGGATTAAACTTAGTAGGTGTATTCATTTGAGAAGAACAGTTTTATTTCTGGTAAGCTCATGAATGTGAGTAAAACATCAAAAAATCTTTTCTTCACACATTCGAATGAAAAGCCTTGTAATCATTTTCATTTAAATCATGTCTGATTCAGTTACTCTAGCTTGTGTTGACATTATTGTGTTAAATGATAGCCATTTCGTAACCAATAACTTGTCTATTTTCATTGTTGTCTGTGTCATCAGAATAGCTGCTATCAGACCCTTGTGACAAAAATCGAGGCATCTAAATATTAGAAATTGAGCGATTGATCGGCTCAAACTAATGGGTTTAACGGTACTAGTCGCCATTGAATCAGCTGGACTTCTCATCTTTTTAGTCTTCTATGAATCACTAGGTCATGTGAGGCAGACCTAATTAAAGATTGGCTTGGTTGCACAGCTTGATTGAAATACTGTTTTTGAGCTATTGCACTGCAAATAAAGATTTTTTTTGACACACACCATTAAAATATATTAATGTTAACTTGCAACATAAATTTATTCATTTATTTATACCTTGGTATAAATCCTTTAAAGTTCAGATTCTTAGAATTTAATGTATAAATACCACTTTTTTCTTCTCTTTTCCACCTTTATCTTTGCCACCTTTATCTACATTACCATAACCAGGTGTTTTCTGTCTATCTTGAGGACCGTTTCTACTTGGAACACCTCTAGAACGTGATCTATCTTGTTTTCTAGGTGCTGGAGCTGCTTTAACACCCCCACGTATATTAGGTGAGGGTCTGAAATAAAGTTACCCATAATCAATATGATTAATATGAATGAGGAAATTGAAAATGTTTTAACAATATTTGTCTATCCTAATTAAGATTTTTGCTATTCTTACAGACTAAAATTATGTCTTTATGGTTGACCTTTGAAAAGCCAGCAATCTGCCAACAGATAAAATCAGACTAATTGTCTTAACAAAGTAAAAGGTTTTTTGAATTTTTTCCATTAAATGCTTCGCAAACTAAAAATCAATGATGTGAGCTGATATTACAGAAATTTTTGGTCCAAAAACTCACAGATTCTAGTCAGATGTTACGTCACTGTCATGGTTTCCACTTGGGAATTTTTGCAAAGTGCAAAATGTGGAAACTTTTGCATGCTAAAGTGAAAATGGAATTACTGAAAGGTGGATATAAGTGTATATTTACTGATGCAATGATTATTCTGTAAGATGAGAAAGCTCACATCATTAATTTTTTGTCTGTGGAACATTTAATGGAAAAATTAAAAATACTTTTCACTTTGTTTAGACAATAGCACTTAGTGTAAGGAACTTGTAAGAATTTAGCACTACCTATGTTCCACTGGTGTTGGTGGAGGCCAGACATCAGGATCTCTAGTTGGTACTTCATGTCTAGGATTAATATCATCAAATGACATTGGACTACCATAATGGGCATGGTAAGAATGAGAATTATCAGTCTTGAAGCTATTTAATGTCTTACTAATATCTTTAACATGCTCATATTCTTGGGCTATCTGTTGCTTTACCTACAAAATACAATAATAAAATTTAAACTGTAAGTCAAAATGTGTTGAGGACAGAAATACACACATAATTATTTCAACAATGATAAGCAATTTCACTTCGGGGTAATTTTAGATATTTGTTACAGGGATACTGGGAAATGTCTCAAGAATAAAAACATTTGTACTAATTGTTTGTACAAAAACACTACAATTCGCACTTACATAGATTAGATCTCATTTGACATCAGCTCCCAATGAAATTAAATTCACATAGGGCCTACTGACATAAGCCTATACCATATATTTCCTTAATATACAGCCATTTTCAAGTTCACAATAGAATGTGCTCAAAACAAAATTATCGTATCACTAAATGGTTGCAAAAAATTACTTACCTGATACCATTTCTGTTTACGAGCTGGTTCTTTGATAGTAAGTAATAGTTTTTGTATTTGTTGTAATACACCTTCATAGTAAACCATGGATGTGTCATAATTACCCAACAAAGCACTTTCTCTTCCCATCTTCGTATTTTCACTTATTTCTCCAAAATTAGTACTCATCTTGTCTATCAAGAAAAAAAAAAGTTTACATCAAATTAAAAGTAACAGATTCTCCGACAAAATTTTGTGAAAGAGTTGAATGTTTTCAATACGGTATCATATAATTTTCATGTGTAAGCTTATTGATAAAGTCTTTTAATTATTTCATTCACAAATTTATCCTTATCCTTAGTACATAAAATTTTGATTTCAAACTTGGCCAATGTTAATTTATTCATGATGGACCTAGCCAGTGTTATAATTTTAGAACAGAATCCCTCTATAAACTGATAAAGGCATAAAACTAAGTAATCATTCTTAAAACTATAGTAAGGTTAATCATTTATTTATTACTTAAAGTTTTTCAATGATTACGTTGTTTAATGGACTTATTAGATTGTACATTCAATGACTCCGAGGCAGATGTTTCGGACTAAGTAAGTTCAAAATTTGAACATAAATATATTTTCTACACAGCGTAGACAGTAGACACCAAAGCTAGTTACACATCGTAAGGCTCAAAGTAAACAGTGACATTAGATCACCATTTAACGAATTTAACTCGGATTTGAGATTAGGTTGATTGCTATAGCCTACTATTCAAAAAAGGCACTGGCACTGAGTGGCACAGGGTTTGATTTTGTTGAACTTGAAGTTGTTTTCATTGTCGGGTAAATTGTCATAATTTCATAGTGGGGTCTCTTTGTTACTTCCATCAGATACCCTTTAAACAGAAAAAAAATAAGCTTACACTTACATACAAGTAGTTCAACAGCTAAATTTCTAAATTGAGTTTGAAGCAAAAAAGGCACAATCAATTTGACTCAACAAGGAATTTGGCCGGAAGTTTAAAATCTAAGGGAGACAACAGCTATGCAACTTTTTACTACCGAAAGAGTGCAGAAAACTACCGAACAATACTCCAGAATTTAATCCGAAGTATTCTCAGAGGATTTGTTGACTTCACCGTAACCTTTATTTTATTAGTATCACATGTCCCTGTGACCCTTGAACTTCTTTAAACGAACGATTAAATATCCGTTAAAAAAAAAACTTTGATGGGACCACAGAAAAGACATAAATGGTGTAGGAGGATTTTGACTAAACTAAAAAAAAATATTCATTTTTCCGAATATGTCTGTATTTTTCCTCTCTAAACCAGCCGACAACCCTCATTTATTTAAGAGGCTGGAATAAAGGCAGATGTTTCGGTATTCTTATCTGGTAATAAATGGAGTTAGCTACCGGTCTATTAGTTGATATTTACCAAATTTTGGCATGCATGTAACTTTGGTGGCTCCGTGAGATATTACCACTCGTGGCAACCCAAAAGTCATTGAAATAGCAAATCAAAGTTATGCCAAGCACAGCATAGTATAATATCATATCATAACAAATGAGCGTGTTTTTGTAGACTAGGGCTAGAGAAATGCAATACAGAGAAATCTATTCCTTGTATTGAATCAAATTACCAAGAATAGCAATGTAAAGATTTTTTGTACACAATGTTCCGGGTATGCATTTTGACGATTTGTAGTTAAAATCAAGCACAAAATCAATTTAAGACATGGTTTTCAAAATCTGAATATTATTGAAATATAAAACTAAAGTATTATTTAAAGGTTATATATGGTCGATTTATATCCCAAGGACGCATTGTAAATTGAAACAGTGGCGTGGGCCTATTAGGGGTTGGATCATGACACCCCCACCCCCTAGGCCCGTAAAAGTGAATTTGGAAGGGAAAATTAAGCCCTCTTCAAGCTCAAAATTCATCTTATGCCAGCCATCTGAAATCCATTGGCAGCTCCCAGAGTTCCCATGTTCCGGCCATTAGCAACTGTACCAATTAACAATCATTAGAGACAAATAACATCCCTTTTCAGACAATACTTCACCATTTAATTTATCCACTCCGGAATCCTCGTTCCATATTTACTGTAAAAGGGTGGTGATTGAAAATCGCGGTCTCCATTGAATTATCAGTCACTGTTGCAGTTTAACATCGATCGCTTATCGAGAATCGAGAAGTAGTACGAAAAATCTGCCTCTATTCCAGACTCTGGCTGGTATTTTGGAATTGTCGGCTGGTTAATCCAATAACTGTCAAAATATCTATCAAAGGCTGGAATAGAGGCAGATATTTCGGACTACTTCTCAATAAGCGATCGATGTGAAACTTGACAGAAAGTTCCTTATTATTCAAAAAAAATTCAGAGGACTATAAGCTACCTTTCATTCTAAATCAATTTCCAAAGTTTTCCGGTAGGATTTTCCCGGTAAGAGCGTAGTGGTTTGTGCTTTAGTAAATCATTGATAATAAATCGCATTTTAATTTATATTTTGATGAGGTGTAAAGATTATGGAAGTATTCTTTTCATTTGACCATTAAGCTCCTATATTATCCTCTTTTCGTCTCTTGGAGAGGGACAAAATTAAAAAGACAAATCGGGAAGGGACATAATGGGAACTGGCGAACAGGGTATGGGCGAAATTGGAATAAATAGGTAGCGAAGTGGGATTTATATGGATCTAGCCTCTATCATCCAGTCCACACAGCTTTCGCACAACTTCGACGAAAATAACGTCGAGATCAACTGGGCAGACAATAAGGTTTGCAGACAAGATCAAGTCCGCGGGCGATAGCCAGCAGACAATAAGAAAATTGAACTTTTTGACTCATCCTCGCGATTCAGCCAATCAACGAAAGCGACACAAGGAAAATTATCGGAATTCCCCCGACAAATCATGTCATAACAACACAAGGTGTCCGCGAACGTAAATTTTCAACAAAAAACTGGATATGGATGTAATTTTACTTCAACAAATCAAGAGAAGCAATGGAAAACGTTTATTATTCATTTATCAGTCAATCACAAGGTAGGTAAACAGATCCATCAAGATGCTAGTTTACATGCAAACAAACTCCTTATTAGGAAAGAGTATTATTCGACCAAAGTAGAAGAGGCTGAGCACGTTTAAAAACAACTGTATCGAGTTAGTAGACACATAATGGGAGAAAACATGAGACAATTTTACCAACGCATGATAATGAGAGAGATCTTGCAAACACATTTTGTCAGTTCTTCCTGAACAAGATTGAAACTATTCGGACTAATCTAAGCGCAGCTAAAAACAACTCGGAAAATATGTGGAGAGTAATGAGATTCGACGAGAAGTTTGTAGGTGATTACTTATCATCTTTCAAGCCGACATCTCGAACGGAACTTGTGAAAATCGTACAGTCTGCTCCATCAAATCAGTGTGAACTTGATCCAATGCCTACAGAATTGTTAAAATCATGTTCGAATGAATTGCTACCTGCTATTTTGAACATCGTCAACCGTTCCTTATCTGAATCAAACGTGTCATCAGATTTCAAACAGGCTATACCCTTACAAAAAACGAAGAGGGTAAAACAGTTTTACCATGAAACTGTATGGTTTTACCATATACCGTACAGTTTTACCATACTTACCATACAGTAAGAACGATTTTACCATACCGTACGGTAAAGTTTTATCATGTTACCGTACGGTTTCATCGTTTACCATACAGTAAATAGGGTTTTACCATACAGTAGGGTAAAGTTTTAACATGTTACCTACGGTTTACAATTTACCACACAGTAAGTAGGGTTTTACCATACAGTGCGGTAAAGTTTTAACATGTTACCTACGGTTTACAATTTACCATACAGTAAGTAGGGTTTTACCATACAGTGCGGTAAAGTTTTAACATGTTACCTACGGTTTACAATTTACCATACAGTAAGTAGGGTTTTACCATACAGTGCGGTAAAGTTTTATCATGTTATCTACGGTTTACAATTTACCATACAGTAAGTAGGGTTTTACCATACAGTGCGGTAAAGTTTTAACATGTTACCTACGGTTTACAATTTACCATACAGTAAGTAGGGTTTTACCATACAGTGCGGTAAAGTTTTATCATGTTACCGTACGGTTTCACCATTTACCTTACAGTAAGTAGGGTTTTACCATACTGTACCATGTTACCCACGGTATTTGATATTATGAATAATGGAGTTTATTTATAGCCATTGTCCCATTAATGGAACACCTTTTTGATTCCACCACAGCATAATATGCTTGGCCATATGATATTTTAAGTTCATAAACAGAGTTTGGTTGCGACTAGTCCGATCGAGTCTACTTTTAGCAGTTGTAGTGAGTTATCTCCCTTGAACCCGCCAAAGCCTTGAAAATGTCCAAATTAATGTCAAGCAGGAAAAGGTTAGTAATTTTCACATTTTAAGCTCTGTATTCATGAAATTACTTTAGAAATACTATAAAATATAACAATGAGATTAGTTGTGACAAAAATTTTACACGTTTCAATCGTTTCTGTAGCAGTTGTGAGTAAATTAAAAAGTGTCCCGTAAGTGACCAAATGGCTGCCAATTTCAGCTTGGTATCGATATAGATAGGAAATTGTTGGCTAGAGCTTTGACATTCAAGAAACTGGTGTGTACCATTTTGTCATCCAGGGAGCAGATGTACCAGATGACCCTAGATGGAAATTCGATACAGGATCAAGCCGAAACAAACTTTGAAACGGACACCTATAAACGTCTGCTTGGTAAGTATTAAGAAATTAAGACAGAATTTAAAGCCACTTGTTTTCAATTGATAATTTATGTATGAATGAAACATGTTCCTACGGAACACAATTTATATATTCATGCATCAAGAGAAAATTAAATACAATGTACATAACGCTTTGATTAATTCAATTGCAATAAATCAATTCTGATGAATATTTAGCGGAACTTATTTTTAAAGGAGAACGTTCACATCGATGCCATCCCCCTAGTGAAATCGAGCGTTTCTGTACATGATTATTTGAGGAGGTAACCAGTGTAAACCATTATACGTTGGGCCACTCTACATATTCCACGCCAACTAGGGCCGATCTTATAATGTCATTTTTATGTATTTTCAGAATATGTCCTATCAAAATTCCCACAAGTTAAGATAATGGAAATCAGAAGTTGCATCTCTGAAAAATTCAACAACGAAATGAATGCCCCCCTCCCCCAAAAAAAAATAAATCTTTGATTAGTAGATAAATCTTTTTGTGTTTTTCTTTGTGTGGGATTTATGTTAAGAGCAGGAGCATGTTTTGCTTGTGAAAGTAAATCCTGTATTTGGAGCATCTTTCTGCAGTACACAGCCTTTTAAGCGTTGATTGATATGGATCGACTTTCCGTGGTCGAAGCTGTTTAACTGTACGGTAAACCGCTATCACTCCATGGTTTTACCGTATGGTTATGGATTTACTGTACGGTTATGGTTTTGTTATGGTTTTACTGTGCGGTTATGAATTTACTGTACGGTTATGAATTTACTGTACGGTTATGGTTTTACTGTACGGTTCTGGTTTTAACGTACAGTAAAACTGTCTCAAATTACTGTACGGTAATATTGTATGGTTAAAAATTTTACTGTACGGTTTTACCGTGCCCCAATTTTTGTAAGGGTAGTTAGGCAATTGCTGAAAAAACCAACACTAGACCGGGAAGTTTTCAAATATTACCGCCCAGTTTCAAATCTGACTTTTTTGTCCAAAGTTTTAGAGAAAGTTGTTGCTTCTAGACTTGATCACCACATTGAATCGAATAGCTTATATGACAATATGCAATCTGCATACCGACCACAGCATTCTACGGAAACTGCGCGTGCATCATGACATTGCATCTGCGCTTGATAAAAACTGTTGTGTTGTACTCCTAATGCTCGATTTGTCTGCTGCATTCGATGTCATCGACCACGATATACTGTTGGAGCGTCTTAATCATTCCTTTGGAATCTCT